TTGTTGTCTTTATTTTTTGTGTATTCACTGTATTGTATTGAACAAAATGGTTAAATGTTCTAGACAGTTATCACGTGTTACCAGGGTCACGTGACCTCCGCTGTCGTAACATTATTATAATCGTTGCGTCAGGAAAGGACGAATTATGGTATATGAAATGTTATCTGTCTAATGTTATTTGAAGACTGCTGTTATTGACTAATACTTTTAATATTCAGTTTCTTCGATTTATTTTTTTTTACTTTTTTAAAGTCTCATAACTAAATACATTCCATATTAAAACATTAAAATAAGCAAAACTTGTCAAAAATAAAACACGTAGAGAAATTATTTGATACGATTACAGAGTTGTTGTTTACGTTATACGTTATCACCACAGCAATCAGCTTGTAACACGAATTGGCCAGATGATAAGGGGGAGTAGAAGTGCGATTATGATAAGTATACTGTTACTATATGCGAGTACTGGTACTTTGTTTGTGTAGATGATACGCAGGTAAGATTTGCGAAAACTTGTAGCTTTTATGAATATTGTTATAACTTATAGACAAAGTGAATCTTATGCTGTAGATTTCTTAAAAGTTAATTACTTAATAAAACTAAGAGTAATTTGTGAAAATAAAGCTTGTACGCATATGAAGTTGTGCCAGTTTTATTATGTATTAATAATAATATTTAGACTTAAGTTAGAACTTAGACTTTTAGTTTTATAGTATTACTATTAATATTAGATAATTAACTATTACTAGTTTCAGAATATTATACTTCACTATTTGAATGAAGTCATGATTGCTGTAATTAAAAATGTAAAACATGTGTCCAGATTTTTAGACCCGATGTTTAACTTTTAAGTTAAATTAAAAAGTTGTATGTATTATATATATATGTTCTTGAGGCTTATGGGTGTATTATTCCCCAGTTAATGGCTTTTGTTATTAATGATGGATGAACCTAGAATGAAATGAAAACTAAATATGATACTTGTGTTTTCAAACTATGTCAAAATACAAACAAGCAAAAAATGACAAAACGTCTGTCAGAAGAGGATTTGGTTTGTTGAGCAGTCACTAGATCATAAGTGAAAAACCAAGTATCCAGTAAATGTAACTTGTGTGCTTAATCTCACTGATCTCTTTTTAGATTAAAACATTCTTCTCATGATAAGCTTTTCTTCAAACTTAATAAAATCAGCAAATTTAGCTATTATACACCACTTAGTACCCTCAATATTATTTGTACAAATAATGAGCAATGAATATACCTAAACAGACTTTCACTAGTCATATTCACTAAATCAAAAACTATCATTTCATTTATTATTATTCTTTTCTGTTTAAGATAAAACCAATTATAAATACACATTTTAATATTTCTGCTCTGTTTGAAAGGAATCTGAATTAACATTCAATATTTTTTGCAATACTTTATCAAAAGTTTTTCAAAGTTAAGATAAATCATATTACAAAGGAAGCTTATTCCAAAAAGCAAAAAAGAAAAACTTTATAAATAACTAGCAAATTGAAGAGATAAGAAAACCCCATCTTAAAACTGTGCCACATGTGCATCAGTAATGAAAATTCTAAAGTAATGCACTATTACTTTTAGTACATAAACTTGGACAAAAGACTAACATTTTGTAAAAGGTGTATTTGTGATACACATAATGAAAATTATCTAAGCATGATTACTGATAACTGCCTGACACTTTTGACTGACTATTGTGATGAAAGATCTGTGGCATTCTGATGAGGCTAGATTTGAATTGTTGCATTCATTTTTGACCCTTTTATTACATGTTAGGTACTTACATAGTGGAATAAGTGAGGGAGATGATTTATATGTACTAATAATATTTAGTTTAACAAAATTGAACCGTGAAGAGAGGTACAGAGACTTAGATTTGATCTCTCTGAAATATAGTAGTGAAAGAGATGACTTAATTTAGACATTTAAAAATTGTTAGGTGTGATATTTAGGTACACTGGTGTCCAACAAAAAAAAGTCAAGAATTACTGCAAAATGCAGGTTCAGAACTATTAAGTGACGAATAAATTGAATATGGTCAGTAAAGGTAAACAAACAAATGCTGGTTTAGTTTTAAGTAAAAAATTCATTATTTAACAACCACAATATTCTGTTACCAAAACTGACTTGGCTTCTTCTATGTTGTTTAGCTGCTGGAGCCAATAAACTGAAAGAGACAAAAATCAAAAGAATCAAGAGACAACTGTGGAAATATTAACTTAAATATCCTGGTGAACAAAGAAGTTTTGGCAGCCCACAAAGCCACAGGTTACATACTTTTATTAATAGACTACACACAATCTTAAGCTAAGTCAGTTGTGTAGATTTGTGTATTGCCTGTTTCAATTGACTGTCTTTCAAGAAGTACACACAGAAATATATACATGTTAGTTTTGGACTTAAAAACAAAGATGTAAAAGAATAAATACAAGTTTTCAACATTTAGATATGGATGTGATTAACTAAATGGATATGTAGAAAACTACTATGTGAATTTACCCGAATAAAGATATATTCTATGCTAATTATGGAAGGGTTAAATTTATGACTATTGTAAATATTTCAATTATTATATGGTGGTCTAGTATAAATTGGACTTTTGTTATTTTTGGCATGCCTCAAGGTAAGTGCATGAGCCTTTGCTTTTTCTCATTTTAATGTTTTTGATAAGGTCATGAATAGTAAATTAGTAAAGTTTACTGATTATATTTAACTTGTGGGTATTTCTAGCTGTATTGAGGATATTAAAGTGTTACAGAATGACATGGATCAATCGGTAAGTTAGACAAATATTTGGCAAATGACCTTTAATTATAGTGAGTGCAAGGTATTACACTTGGGTTACCATAATTTGGATAATACATTTAATATAGATGGGAAACCACTTAATAGTGTGACTGGAAAAAAGGATACTGGCATAGTAATAGATAAGTCACTCAAGCTATTAAGGTATTGCTCTATTCCTAGTAGTAAAACAAATAGAATGTTAGGGTGTATTTACTGGCATACATATATTGACTGCAAGTCAAAATAGGTAACTATCTCTATACAGATTACTTGTTAAAGCCTCACTTGTATGTGTACAGATTAATACATATATGAAATGATTATTCAGATGTTTAAAAAATATTTGTGAAAATTATTATTTTACTAACCATGCAAATGATTACTTACAGTTCTGAAGCAGCTGGATTATACATGGTTCATTATGTCTGGACAAAGATCCTTGAGTGAGAAACTTCAAGAGATCAAATTATCATTGCAGTAAGTAAATATTAATAATTTAAAATATAATTTACAAATTGTTATGGACCAAGAGCTAACTCATGTTTATTAAATGCATGTACTTTGGCAAGGAGGTTGGTTATTTTAAGTAAGACATATCAAGCACTATGGGAAATAAACATACCTAAAAATTTAATCACTTTATTCTACGGGGTAACAAGATGTGAATTAATAGCATACATTTCAAACACTTTACAGTTATTTACTTGGTAGGTTGAGTATGATGATATCTAATCACCATAGTTTTATATAAACATGTTCTTTTAAATAACTGTGTTTTAATTCGTATTGAATAGTACAATTAAAATTACAGTTGATTATTAAATGTGTAATGATGTGTGTGTGTCTGTATTTATAAAGAAAGCATTTGGCTCATTGAATAACATCAAAGATTGAAGACTTAAATCATGCATGTATACGAGTATTCTTTATGAGAATGATTCAGGCCCTGACATTTGAAAAACAGTACACGGGCTAATGCCATATCTCTATTCATTGTTTTACAAAATTGGACAATAAAAATTAATTTATATTGATTGAATTACACTATGTTTCCATTAAGTGAACCTGTGGTCATATTTCAGGGACAAAGTAAGGGTAAGAAGTAAATATAAGACCAGGTACATTAATTTGATGAATAAACAAAGTAACAATCAATAACATTTTTATATCCAGTAAAATTGGAAAAATTATAATGTTATAATTTCCTTAAAGTCTGTCACATAACATCTTGACTAGAATCATATGATGATTACTCTTTTGTAACTTACAGACAAGATTAAGATGGTATTTAATTTTATTACTTGGAAATAAAACATCAATTTCACTATTTGTTCAAAAAAATGAAAAGTCACATAGTTGCATGAAGACTCACCTCATAAAAAAATTGAATGAATTTGAAGTAAATATACTTTGCATAGTCACTTGTATGTACCAAGATCCTTTGTCCTATTTGTGTTTAACTGTTAGCTATTGGAGCATATTCAATCATTGTCCTCACGCATAGTATGTACAGGAGAATCATCACCATCGGCAACGTCAACGTCAAATGATTCCTCTGCAATCAGTTCTTGAAAAAGAATCTCATCTGTTTGAGCCTCATCACTTGATCTACTAGACATGCTAGAATCAGAATCATCTTCATGATGACCTCCATAATTGCATACATCTTCATCACCAACATTCTATAGACACGTTAGAAGTATTTGTATCAAATTTCCTTTCCCTCCTTTTTGCCATAAATTTCTCCGAAGCTGCTTCTAATATTTGTCCATTTTCCTCTTGTGTCCATACAAGATCATTTGTTTTAATCAGTTGAAGTTTCTCCACTGTTGAATGTTTTAAACTAAGCCTTTGATCAGCAAGCATGTGGATAAGGTGACTAAACCATGCCTAAACAACATTATTTCCACCAGTATACAAACATTTCTTAAATTCATTCATTTTGTATAGAAGCACACACTCCCAGAGATCCTTAGTTTTGACTTCATTCATGTTATACTTAACCATTCTCTTGAATGCTTTCCATTCTGAGCTTATCTTAGTTTTATCAAAGTTGTTAATTTTTAGTGTCTCATAAAAATGCTCTGAAAGTAAATTTAAACACTCAACCTCCCTGGTGATGTTATCTAAATTTGCTGGATCTATCCAAAACATACTTTGATAAAGTTCACTCTCAAAGGAGAAGATTCTTGAGTCAAGATAAGTTTGTACACTTGGAATGACAGTAATTCTTAGTTCGTATATAGTTTTCTCAGCACAATCTCCATTAAGAGTAAAAAACACAATGTGCCCGAAAAGAAATTATAATTACAGTCTAAATTGTTCATTAGACTGTATTTAATGTTTTCTTTTTTCTGGTACCAAGCTTTAAGCAAAGTGCTCTTAAGATGCTAGGAACCTGATTTCATTTCCAGTTCAAGTTTGTTTTTTTCCAAAAGACTGGCAGTGTGTACCTGAAGTTTCTTTCCTGAGTTCCTGTAAGGCATCCTTTGCTTTTTCTAACATAGGCAGTATCTGATAGCATAAAGTATTTTCTTTTTCAAACTTCATAGACGAAATAGAACATGCATCCAGCACATCTTTGTGCAATCACCATGTTGACAGAAAAAGAAGTCTTTCATCTTTTTTTCTTTTTAAGATTCCATGAAACTTAGCTGATACTACTCTCTCCTTGCAACTGGCAAGGGAATTCTCTATTGTTCGAGCAAGAATTACCTGGTTACTCAGTAAATGATTTAATCCATGTCTTACGTTTGCAAAAAATCATGTACCATGCACTTTGGGAAAATTAAAATTTTGTTATTGGTCAGCTACAGAGATGTTGTAGACTTTGAGAACAGTGTTGTCATTTTTTGTAAAATTTATTTTCATATGTCTTAGAGATTTGGAACACTTTTGAAGTCTTTCATTATTCATCTTTTTTTTATATATATGTACCTTTCCTGTTTAGTTAATCAGCCAAATAGTTTTTAGCTTATTTTAAGGAAGAATTAATTTTCATCTTCTTGTATTAAATAGTTTCTTTTACTTACTTTTATTTTAACTACAGTTACCATATGCAATTACAAAATATCTTGCTCTTCCATAGTATGTATTTCTTATTTTCAAAATTCTTAAATCTTTACAAGTTCTAATCTTGGAACACTCTAAATCTGGTTGAGATCATGAACAAAATTCAACCTGAGTTGTTACTTTTTATAGATTGACCAGTCAAGAAACTCAGTTCCTGTTTCGTGTGATAGTTACATTGTGTCCTACTTTGACCTTGGGTTTGACTGCCACTTGGAACAAAGATACTTCTGTATTTTGGTGCCCATTTTCTGATAGGTTAGCTGCAAAGAGAACTTGCTTCGCAATTGCAAATTTTGGCTCTTTTTCAGTAGAGATTCTTTCTGACCTTTGAGGAGAAAAGACTCATTTCTCTTCTGAAGGAGTTAAGACTTGCTGGTGAAGTTTCATATGTATCCTGATCTTTTCTCTTTCCCTTCTGCTGATTGTGTGTGTTCATTTTTTTTAACCTTAAATACTGTTTATTATACTTCAGACTACACTAACAGTCAGCCACTCTTTAAGTTTCTTCAGAAAATGAAGTATTTTATGCTAATCAAAGCTCAACATTGTGTCTTATTTGTTTCAGACCACTTGCAACAAATAAATGCACTTTTCTTCCACTTAATAAACCCACAAACCTCTCATTGTTGTAGAGATCAGGGGATTGTGTGCAGTTGTATTCTTGAATTATAACAGTTATTCTTCCAACAATGCAACAACCTATTCCACAAGATGATCAGCTTTTGTTTGGTTTACCTTTGAACCACTTATCACATAAATATAGTGTGCTTTTGTACAACTTCACATGGTTTATTGTTTCTCTTAAATGATTCTTTCCAAATATTAGATCTGTAACTATCTTGTTGTGAAGGTCAGGTAACTGTGTTCTTGGTTTATCCTGAACCTAAGGAAAAACCACAGATATAACATGTTATATTAATAAAATGCTTAATATCTTTATCCAGAATGGGTTAAATGCAAGATAATCTAACTTTATTTTGTTGGATTATGGCCTTTAAGAAGAACACAACATTCAAATTATGACTTAAATTACATGGTGTGTATGACTGTTGTTTGGATATTTAAGCCTGTTACATGTGTGTTTATTTTGTCTCAAAATCAAGAACATAGCTCCAAAGTTCTTAATTGTCTATACACGAGTTCATTATGAGTAAGGCAATGTTGACTGATTCTGTATGTTATAAAGTATGAGAAAGATAATTACAATTAAATGCCTGGAAATTGAAAAAAAAAGTAACATCAGTAAAAACATTAAATAGAGTAATTTAAGAACTAAAATTTTTTCCAAAGGATCTAGTACTTAACTCATCATTAAACAAGTGGTGTTTTCAGAATTTACTGACCTAGAACACAAGTTAATTGAGGTGTAATGGAGCACCATTTATGTTTTATGTATTTAAATTGTTTTTTTTTTCTATTCAAAATGTTTTATGCAATTTTTCCTGTCGTATTTAAAAAGTTTAAAGCTATTTTTCATTTATGTATGTTATTGATGTTTTATAACCATTATGCTGTGGTACAAGTAACAAATGTAATTCATTAACTAACATAATTGGATGTGTTTTTGTCTTTGTGTGTGTGTCTCTCTCTCTTTTTATACATATGTATATATATCATTATTAAGCTGCTTCGTTGTAGAAATGTTTTAAACATGCATATGCCAAATTCAAACCGAATTAATGAGAATAGAATATTTAGTATACAAATGAGAAAAAAATCCAACAGAATAAGTGTACATTGTATATTATGTTTTTTTTATATGACATTGTGCTGGATTTAATCTATGTTTGTGTTGGTATATAACCGTTATGGTTATCCAAAGCAGCAGTTTTACATGTGTATTGTAGTACATCAGGTAAGGTAATATGTAGTACATTTAAAACTTGCTAAATGAAAATAGGTTCAATAGCTTCTATTTATATGTAGTCATCACAGATTATTTTCTATGTTTTGACGTTTGTATTTTCCTTTTTATATAAATTGTCATTTGTTATTATTCAAAGTTTTATTTATTTATCATATTTTGTTTTAATATTAATGCTACATTTTTTTTACCCACTAATAGGAATAAGAAGTCAGAAAGTTACTATATCAGAGAATTACAGCCAAATGGATTTTCTCAAAACTATGTTACTATATTGGTTTTAAGTTTTATTTGAATACAAAATCTAGTTTTGCATGACATGCTCATAAAAAAAAATATTTCACTTAAATATTTAATTATAATACTGTTAAAAATTAACTTTTTTTTGTCAACTTATGCAAGTGTGTATGTGTAATGTAAACCATTGGAGAAATTTCTATTTGTTTATTAGAAATTCCACTGCAGTTTCTTAAAATTAAATCTGCTTGTTTAATTGTAGTTTCTTTTTTCTAAGAGTCTAACTTTGTTAAAGGAAATGAGTTTGAGACATGAAACTAGATGAAGTTTTTGAATCATACTTTGTTGGAATACATATGATTTGATTATTTGTTAATGTACTAAAAGTTCCATGTTGATTAGTGTTTTTTTTTTTTATCATCAGATCAAAGAGTCATTCCCTGGATAGTATTAACCCTTTACAAACCAATATATATAGTTCAACAGACCTAAGTTTGAAGCCTGACTGGCAGAATGGTGTTTCATTGTCTGTTTTAAGTTCATCAGTGCCATTGACTCCAGTATTACGGTACAAGTCTCCAGGTACAGTGGTTCTTGAATTATATAATGCTAGCTGGAATGCTCTGTTGGATGGGTTAAATTAAAACTTGCTTGTAACAAATGTTAGGAAATTGTGCTTCTATTTTTTTTTGACATAATAAACATTAAAAGTGCAATAAAAATATACAAAAGTACCAATACTGAAAAGAAGGACATACTGTTTTCAACAATTCTCAAAACAGTGGTTACATAGCTCATTCTAATGCTGAGGGGTATACAATGTTGGTAGTTTTTCTGAAATTAGCTATGAAAATAGAGGGGGGGAGGAGATAACATCTTGAACTTTTCGTACACTTTGTGAATGTTCTTTAGGATCGAAGAAAGTCCACCAAAGTGTACTGAAACATTGACAACCTGCTGGAATGTTTATTTGTTGGAGATAACATCTTGAACTTTTCATACACTTTGTGAATGTTCTTCATGATTGAAGTCCACAAAAGTGTATTGATATATTGACAACCTGCTGGAATGTTTATTTGTTGGAGATAACATCTTGAACTTTTTATACGGTTTGTGAATGTTCTTTAGAATTGAAGAAAGTCCACAAAAGTTTATTGAAACATTGTCTCCATCAAAGAAACCATCCAGCAAGTTGTTCATTATAACTCCATTTAGATATTATTGGTTTCTGTTTCGGTAACCTGTTTCTTCTTACAGGTTATGCCAAGGCTAATTAGCAGCTTTAAAGTTGTGAATTGTTAACTGTCAGATTTAAAGAAAAACATTTGTGTCTCTGTTATACAATTTTCATGCTTACTTGGACATAATATTTACTCAACAAAACATTTAATACAGTATATGAAACTACATTCTAGATATGTTTGTTATAGATGATATAGAATATTTGTAATTTGGATTGAGATCTACATATCTCAGTGCTGATTGAAGTATTCCTTTCAGTTGTTCTTTAAATAGAAATGTCCAAAAAAAGTAGAAAGTGGTTAGTACCTCAACTTCAATGCTACTTTTAAGAATATTTAATCTGGATAATCAATAATATCAAAAAAAACATTGAAAAATTACAAAATTTTAAAACTTACCAAAAAGCCAAAGAATTTTATAAATACATAAGAGTAACCACTGACAAATGAAAATAAATATATATACTATTCTACCAGCAAATCAAATGAGAACTAAGGGTGTTTTAATAATCTTGGTTAGTGATAGTCTGTGGTGAGGTTGGAGTTGAAATAACTAGTTTTCTAGAATTTCTGGCCAGTGTTTGTTACTATACATGCAAGTTGTAATGACTTAGGTGGAGATTAGTTTGCTGTGGGTACCTGGTACTGTGATGATAGATTATTAGTTTCAGACAGACTTCATAGCTTTGTGCCTTGTGTGAATGGTTAGTTCTGTTTTTTATGCATTACTTTGATAGCAAGTAAAACTATGAAAATATTTTTTTTATCTACAGAAATAGAGACAGTCCTATTTGCATTTCCAAGAGGACTTTCTTTATAAATTTTACAGCCTGATTCTATGTATTGCTTTTAAGTTTAAAGATAATTTTTTATTTTTAAAAGAAATTATATTTGTTATAAGATTACCTATGTAGTTAACACTGTGTAATAGAAGTCTACTAAAAATACGTGTTTATTTACTTAGTCCTTTTCCTTTCCACTACTGAAAATTTTCTGTAGAATAAACTTATTCTGTTGTATATATAGTATTTTTAACATATATATATGTGTGTGTGTGTAACCAAAACATCTGAATGCTTTTAGTATAGATTTTATATAAAATTACATCCCGAAGAGTGATTTTTGAAGTCGCACTCACAGAGAGAGAGAGAGAGAGATAGATAGAGATTACATATAGATAGACAGGTGGATGGATGAATGGATAAATAAAAATAACTAATTGTGTTACTGAAATGCTAATATATATATATATAT